GTATCACTTATCAGATACATGACTTCCAAATATTTTTCCTTATACTGTGGGATGTCTTTTGAAGTTGCAGAAGTTTTTAATTTTGGTGAAGTACGGTTTAAGTTTTCCTTTGTTGCTGGTGCTTTATGAGTCATACTTAACAATCCATTGCCAAATTCCATGATATGCAGATTTGTCCCTATGTTTACTTACAAGAATTTGTAGTTTTATTCTCTAGATTAAATCTTGAATCTAGTTTGGGTTAACTTTTTTATATGCTGTCAGGTAGGTGTGCAAAATTAAACTTTTGCATATGCCTATCCATTTGCCCCAGCAGGAGAGGGTTCATATTTAAATAGGCTTTTTATAACTTATCAGTTAATTAGGTTTCTATATGCCATATATTTTAAAATTCTGAAGAATATAATTAGGACTATCTTAAAATTTTTTTTAAATATCATGTATTGGTCTGGATCATTTTTCTGTAATAGATTTTTTTTGAAATAATAAAAACCATGTACACTGTTATTATTCAGTTTTGACTAATGTATTTCCTTCTTAAAGCTACTAAAATTTCTTTGGTAGCGGTTATTTTGAAAATATTTGAAAACATTCTGGTTTGTTTGGACTGGATTTCTTTAATTTTTCAAAGGCATATTCTTAATAGGTGAGAACTGATGTTAAAGAGACTATAATGATTTTGCAAGCAAGTACATTTTAAAAAGTGCTCCTTTTGAGAAAACATTTGTAGTATCTTTGTGAAATAGGGTATAGTTTAGTAATTCTGCCATGTATTATCTAGTCAACTTCTTGTTCATTGTCTAAACTATGTAGAAAAAAGAAGAGAAAGTGGAGAAGACATACTTTGACTAACATTACCATGTTGACCTAAGGCTTAAATAAGGAATAAAACAGAAAATTGCCTTTTGCATTATTTGTTTTCATTTACTAACATCAGTTGCCTGTTTCATCTGTGAGGCAGTATTGTGCAACAGCATTTGTACCCTTTTTTTCTTAGTGAGGAAATAATAACTTGAATATTTTTTATTTGCTGGGCTCCTGTTGCTCACATCTGTAATCTTACCTACTCCGAAGGCAAAGATCAGTAGGATTGCGTTTCAGAAGCCAGCCTGGGCAAAAAGTTTGAGAGACCGTATCTTGAAAAAGCCTTCACAAAAATAGGGCTGGTGGAGTGGCTCAAGGTGAAGGCCCTGAGTTCAAGTCCTAGTACTTCCAAAAAAAAATTTTGTTTATGCCAAGTTTTGGAATGTGGTTTTCCTTGTAGGGCAGTGGGGCATGGCTTAGAAATACCCAGTTGGAAGTTGGACCTGGAACAGTAGTGTTTCAGCAAACTAGAGAAAGATTTCTGTTGACTTTCACTGTAGAATTATAAATTGTGAAAATCCACTTTCTTTTTTTTTTTTTTTTTTTTGCTGTACTGGAGTTTTAACTACACCTTGAGCCACTCCACCAGTCCTTTTTTGTGATAGGTTTTCCCCCTTTCCCCCCAAGATAGGGTCTTGTGGAACTATTTGCCCAGGGCTGGCTTCCTGATCCTTCTGATCCTCCTGATCTCTGCCTCCTGGGTAGCTAGGATTACAGGTGTGAGCTGCTGACACCAGGCAAAAAATCAACTTTTTAAGAAGGTGCTAACTGGGAATCAAGCCCAGCGTAACTTGTAATTGCCATAGACCAAGTTCATATTGAAGAGTGTTCATCATTCATGAAGTTTCAGTAAACTGAAATTATTGATCCACAGTGGCACATGCCTATAATCCTAGCGCTTAGAAGGCATAAATAAGGAATTGAGAGTTTCCGGCCAGCCTTGGCTATATAATGACACCCTTTCTCAAAACCAACAACAGCTGCAGTAGCAGCAACAAAACTTGGTCCCCTCTTTTCTATCTTGTTACAGGCAGGAGAGAAACAAAATCATTGCGTAATCTCATGGACTCTCAGCTTTCTCTGAGAAAAGTTGATCTGCACCAGATTTGAATTGCATGGTTGACATTTAATGTATAGAGTATGCACTGATTTATATTCAATTCATAATCAGTTGTGCTTTAATATTATTTAATCTTCAAATTGTTCATATTTCTGATTTTTTTTGGTGGTACAGGGGTTTGAGCTCAGGGCCTGATGCTTGCTAGGCAGGCCCTCTAACACTTGAGCCACTCCACCAGCCCCATATTTCTGAAATTTATCTTTTTTTTTTTTTTTTTTAATTTGGAAAAGACTGAAGAATTTTGAAATATTTTATGCTTTTGTTTCTACTTTGGTCTTAATTATATCATACCATCTGTATATTTGCTAATGGTTTTGCTTATGCTTCCTTATTTATAATATAAATCCTAGCAGTTTGAGCTATGGAAATACCAAGTAGGTCTGCTACTGTATTTTAATAATGGGGTGTTTTTTTTTTTTTTTATTACTCTGTAGCCCAGGGTGGCCTTGAACTCGTGATCCTCCTCCTCAGCCACTTGACTGTTAGGATTATAGGTGTGAATAACCACACTCAGCTAATCATAGCTTTTTAAAAATTAAAAACAGCATGTTTAGGAGCACTATACATGCATGTTATGCTGCTTATTGGTCAAGTTAGAATTTTAAGTGGTACTATGAGCTTGAATGAAATAAGCCGCCATTGACTAATGGTGGAGGCCCGGAACTCTGTGAACTGCCCAGCAGAATGAGGAGACAGTCTATTGTGGAATAAAAACTTCATACAAATTATTTCTCTGAATTCATCTTGTTCTGGAAGAAATGTCTACCATGTTTGTCTCATACTGAGTTATCTACTGGAGAAGTGGATTTTAATTGTTTAGGTTTGTAACCAGGCTTGAGATCCTGATGTCATGATTTCTATTTCAGTTTTTCAATAGGACTATGGTTTTATTTAAAAATTACTTTCATACAATCCAGAATATTCTATTGTTGATTTACAGGGAGTGAAATAAATGAAGTCAACATTCTGTACTTGTGGACAAGAAGGAAAAGGGAGCATGTTTGTTACTCTGTGATTGACCAAAATATATGGTTGTCTTTTTACAGATAGATATTGTAATTATAGTAATCTTATTAAGTAGTAAAGTAACTGATAGAAGTCAGGAATCCTAACCATTCCTTTGGAATGTTAAGAGGAGCCACTCAGCTTCTACATGTGGTATTGATATCTCATTTGAGATCTTATCCTCACACTGTGAGAATTAGTCTTACCTGAAAAATGCAGTAGCAGTTTGCACTGCAGAAGAAAGAATGACCTCATTTTTCATCAGCCCCATGACCACACTGCAGAACTCTAATCCAAAGAATATTTTATTTTAGCTGAGGGCAGTTTTCATTCTGAAAGAACTGACAAGAAGGACTTTTGTCCTGAAACTTGTTAAGCTTCTGTTTTCTACAGAGACAGAGAAAGAGAGTGTGTATGTAGTTTGGATGAGGCAGTTTCTTTGTGAGATGCTTCAGTTTTGTCACTTCTCAGTGCAGCATTTTAAATTAGTGTAGGGGATGGTGGCATTGCATATAACTGTTGTCTGAGGTTCTAGCCTAACAAGCTGTCCAGAGACTACACAGTAATTGTTTTAGACATTTTAATGAGTAAAGCTTTTTTTTTTTTAAATGTTCTTCTCTGTCTTTCTGTCTTCTACCTCAGCAAACTGGCTACTTGGATATTAAACTTGTAATGATTCTTTCAGACTTTGGTAACTTGTGGTCATTCTTTTTAAAAAAAATTATTTGTAGAATTTACTTTGTCTTCCAAAATCCTTCTCATTGGATTCTAACAGAATATTATACTAGAAATACTAAGTACTTGTTTAGTCAAAGGAAAAATTCTTATTTGGTGTTTATGATATTTATAATCATTTTTAAAAAGTTTTGGCAAGGATTTATTTTAGTATAACAGGATAAGTATAGACAAAGAGTAGGGGGTAGAGAGAGAGAGCAAGAGAGAGAAACATCTCCTGTTCCCCACAGGAAACGGGAGCAAAGACTCCTATAATAATTTTTAATGATTATAACATTTAAACATATATAATTAAACATTATATATATAAACATTTATAATTAGCAGTACTTAGGTTAGATGACCTCAGTCTTGTTGCCACCAATTTATAGTTATTCTTTAAATAATATCTTTAAATCGTTTAAATCATGTATCCTCTGTTGAAAAAAATACAGTACTGTTATGTAATTTCATCATCCAGAGGTAATTGCTTTTGATCTTTTGGTGGTCATTCTTAAAGAGGTCCAGTGTAAACAAGCATTTTCTATTCCAAAATACCAGTGTACCAATGAGAAGAACTTGCAACTTTTAGTTTTGAAGTTAAGTAAAATAGTATTTTGTCTTTTAACAGAATGTCTTGTTGATGTGCTGAAATATTTTTATGGGTCTTAATTTAGAACATGATGTGCTGAAATACTATTTTAAAGTAATATTGGAGAGCCTGCTTTTAAAAATGGGGAATTGTTGGGAGGATATGGGGAAAGTGAAGCTAAGTTAAAAAAAAAAAAAAATCCTGTGTCATTAGAATAGATGGCTTGGTCAGTTTATTAGTTAGCCTTGTCTTCTGAGTATTCTGCTTCTCCTTCCTTAGTTGTCTTCTATAGATAGTAAAGGTGATAGGTTCTCATCATGGTCAAAAGCTGGGGGGCTTGCATACTTTGGTTTGTTTTGAGTTTCCATGGAATGTTGAAGAGGCCAAGCTAATAACTAAGCACATTAAAAAATTTGAAATTGAAAAAAAAAAAAAAAAGAAAAGTGAAATTGGACTGGAGATGTGGCTCAAGCAGTGGGGGACCTGCTTTGCAAGTCTGAAGCCCTGAGTCCAAACCTCAGTCCCACCAAAAAAGAAATTTGAAATACCTTATTTTCCAGTTTCTGTGAAGGAATAAATACATAACTCCACTAAGTGGGTAAAAAACAACTTGGGTCACTGGCAGAATTTTTGTGGTGGTAAGTTTCTCTTTACTGCTAAAGCAATCCATTTTTGAGTTCTCTCATCCTTAACTCACTCTTGTAGAATTCCTAGAGGACCTGTGCAGCAGCCTCTGGAGGATCGAATCTTCCCTCCCACCGTCTCCGCAGTCTACAGCACGGTGAGCATCTCAAGGTTGTTTGTCATGTTGTGTGTCTGCTTCTACATGTGAGTGCTTGGTTATACAGGCAGTGTTTGTTTGATGGGCATAGATTTTTGGTGAAAGGGTCAACAAAATCCCCATTAGCAATTTAACTAGGTGAAAAAACCTTGTTTCATCATCATGATCTAAGAAGTAGAGGTGAAACAAACATTATGTTATGATACATTGGCTCTGTCTTTTTTTCTCTTTCCTTAAATATTAACCTCTTGCTGTATACAGTAATTCTTTTTTTCTCTCCCTTTTTTCTGTATTGGGGATTGAATGTAGGGCTTCTCACATACTATGCACTTATATTTAAGCTCTACCACTGAGCCCACACTGCTAACCCCTTGTGATTCTTTTTGTATACTGATTTTTAATTTCTTTTTGACTGTTTCTCATTAAAACTCTTTTAGTTTCCATTTTAAACCTTCAGTTTTTTCTTTTACTGTTTTTTTGTTTTGGCCATACTGGGTATTGAACTCAGGACCTCAAAATTTCTCTACCTCTTGAGCCAAGTTCCCACACATTTTGATTTTAATTTTTAGATAGTGTCTGGAGCTAACTTCCTAGACGAGCATTCAGCCATCATCCTTCTGTCTTGCCTCCTGAGTAGCTGGGATTATAGGTGTGTACCATCATACCCACTCTTTTCTTTTTTATGATTTTTCTCCTTAATTACATATAAAATATGCAGAAAGATTAGCAAAAAGTGGGGGGAATTTAAATTTTGTTATGATTGATGGAAATTCATAAATGAAGGGTAATTTTAAACTCAGAAAGACAGTAATAAAATTAGAAGGAAGTTTTGAAGTGTCTTGCAGTCAATCTAAGGGAATTAAAGTAGGGACTTTAGTAGTCCAGCATGCCTTTTAATACTTCAGTTCACATATCATTTATGCCTGTGCTGTGAATAAACATACAGTCTTGTGAGGCAGTGTATAAAGTAATATGATCGAGCAGTGATCTTTGTGTTAATGAGTCACATTTTGGGTGGGCCAGTGTTGGAGATTGATCCCAAGGCCTCACACATTTTAGGCAGTCGCTTTATCATTGACCTAACACTCTGCCCTTTTACTTTGTTTTTGAACTTAGAGCCTCATGCTTGCTAGGTTGGTGCTGTACCACTTGAGCTACTCTGCCAGCCCTTTTTGTGTTGTTTCTGAGATAGGATCTCGTGAACCATTTTCCTGGGCCAGCTTCACACTGCAAACCTCCTGATCTCTGCCTCCCAAGTAACTAGGATTATAGGCGTGAGGCAGAGCACTGTGTTGAAGAACTATTTTTAAAATTAAGATAAAAGGAAGCTAGGTGTGGTGATGCGCACTGTAATTATAGCTCTTTTGGCAGTGAGATTAGGAGAATCATGGTGCAGGCTAGCCCTGAAATAAATATGAGACCCTTTTTGAAAAATAACTAAAGCAAAAGGGCTGGGAGCTTGACTCAAGGGGTAGAGTACTTGACTAGTAAGTGCGAGAACCTAGTACCAGTCCCCCTCTTAAAAAAAAAAAAGATGAAGAATATGAAAATTAGTAGTAGTCCTGAGCAGTGGAACTATTGTCTGGGCTGGCTTTGAACCCCAGTCCTTGTGATCTCTGCCTCATGAGTAGCTAGGATTACAGGTGTAAGCCACCAGTGCCCAGTTAGAATAGTTTTTTATAAATGCAATTATTGAATTAACAGAATAGGTATATGGTGCATGCCTGTAATCATAGTACTCAGGAAGCTGAGGCAAAAGAATCTGAAGTTGAAGACCAACTTGGCACACTGAGACTGTATCTCAAAAAAGAAAATAAAAATAGACATGTTATTAAGGTTAGTCATAAATGAGAGCATTTGAATTTGTGAAATCACTAGTTTCTTTTTATTTTGTGCTTATTGGGTTTGAACTCAGAGCCTCATCCTTGCTAACCTGGTGCTCTACCATGTAAGGCACAGCCTAGCCCTTTTTTCCTTTAGTTATATTTTTAGATAGGGTCTCATATTTTTGCCTGGGGTCACCCATGCACCAAGGTCCTCCTATCTACCTAGTCTTTGGGATGATATGTATGCACCATCACACCTAGCTTATTCATTGATACAGGGTCTCACTACCTTTTTGCCTGGGCTGGCCTCAAACTGTGGTCTTCTGATCTCTACCTCTTGAGCAGTGGCTTACTGGTATATGCCACTGTGCCTGGCCATTAATTCACTACTTTGGAGAAGAGATATCAAAACCCTGTGAGTGACAGGACAGTGCTTGTTATGCAGCTTATGTGAAATGTTTGAGTCTAGATTTTTGAACTAAGTTAGTTTAAATTTGACTTTCAGTATTTAAAGCTACTGATATGTGTGTGTGTGTGTGTGTGTGTGTGTGTGTGTGTGTGTGTGTGTGTAAAATACATACAGGAATATAGTATGTAGTGCTTCTGCTTAGAAGGGATTTTAGGCAGTAAAAGTTACTTTAAATATGATGTTCTCCACTCCCTTCTCTTTCCTCTTCCCTTTTCAGCAGGGTCTCACTATGTTGCCTTGTCTGAAACTCTTGTGCTCAAGTGATCCTCCTGCCTTAGTCTCTCTTTCACTTTTACAGTATTGTACACATTGTTATTGTATCTGTAGGAAGGTATGTGACTAGGTGCTTTGAAGTACTTAGTTCCCCTGTTTCTGCCCCAATATTATGTGTTGGTCATTATGCCTCTAGGGTATAGGTTCATTAGCATTATTTCTGTGTCATAAATAAAGGTTGCTCTCAATTCACTTCCTACTGCCTTGGTATATGGTGTCCATATGTCACTTTTATTGAATTGAGTAAATTCCTTGAAAGACAGTAACACTACTGGCCAGTCTTTATAATAAAGATTACACACACATTCTGCCTTTTAACTGTTTTTCAGTCTGTTATGGAGAAGTTTTGTGTTCTGATACAGTCATTTTAGATTGATTCTCTGCTGGTAATCAAAGGAGCATCAAAAGTTGAATTTATTGGCTTTTAGAATGCCTTCATGTAACATATTTTACCTTAGTTATTTTAACTTGGTTTGTACAAATTTGTCCTTGAAACATTTATCATGGATGAGAGCTCCCTTATGTCATCATAGTTTCATGATTGATCACATGAACCAAAAAGGTAATCAAGCAAATATTTTTAAAATTCTGTACCATATTATATGCTAGAGGAAAAATGTCAAAACTGTTGATGCATTAGCTGATTTGGGATATGTTTTATTTTCTTATATTGATATGCTTCTATTAGATAAACTATGTAACTGCACCATGTTGCATAATTTTATCTTACATATTTATTTTATGGGGTTGTGGCTCAAGTGGTAGAGTGCCTGCCCTGACTTCAAACCTCAGTACTGCCAAAAAAAGAAAAAAAGATTTTTGTATAAAGTAGTATATCATACTTCATGCATTTTTTTTCCACTTATGTAATTATTTTGAGATTTGTCTATGCTGTTATCAGTAGTTGGTTCCTGAATGAAAATGGTAAATTACCCTTAGGTCTGTTTTAATCACTTGTTCCATATACTGCTTTCCCCCTTTAGCAAATAGGATTTGGTTCTCATCAAGCATAATTTAAATCATAATGATTTTACAATTTGGTAATTTTTTAAAAAATACAGTGTCTTATCACAAATGAATTTCTGTGCTGTTATATTGAATTTACAACCATAATTTTAACAGGTTAAGAAGCCTCTCAAGGTGGTGAGTTATAATTTACATTATTTATAATTTGACAAGCTTTTGTTTAGCTTAGTGATTCTGTCTTATTTTGTACATTATATTTGTGATACATGTACGTAAATACTTCCACATATAATGCATAGTCATGTATGTGTGTGCATTTTTTTCTCTTAGGCTAGGATTCACATAAGCAACATTAGTGAGTTAAAAATGTACACACTTTTGCATACTTCATATTTCTGACATACAGTTAGGGCACCTCATATTCTTACAAGCACTATAGGAGTATGTCCTTTTTTATTGAATCTTAACAGCTTCAGATCTTCCCATTTTCAGACATCTTTGTCAGTTTGAGAGGTGACAAATGATAGTTCATTTAAATGTTATAAAAAGGAATTTAGCAAGTAAATGACTAGAAGAATGCTTAATATTGATAAAATAATGTCATATTTTGCTTATAGAATTAGCAAAGGTTTAAGGGGACTATCTCCTTTTTAGCCTTTTAATCTTTTTTCTTTTTAATATTTTGAATTATTTGGTATGGAAAAATTATGAAACTTGCTTTTTATGGCAAAAAGAATTTGGTTGTAAGAAGATTGTTTGTATATAAAGTGTTATTATTGTTCTGAGTCACATTTGACCATAGCTAAATATCAAGATTTTTTTTTACTAGTCAGAAATTTAAATTATAGATGAAAATCACATTTATACCTGGACAGGTATGTTTAATGTTGTAATGTTTAACTCTGGACAGAGAAGAGTGCTCTGGCGTTAGTGGGTAGAGGTCAGGATGCAGCTAGACATCTACACTGTTCATGACCGCTTCCCATTTAGGAATTTTCTAGCCCTGCATGTCAGCGGTGTCACTTCTGAGGTACTCTTAGCTAGAATGATTAAGATTAATTGATTTTTGTGTTTACCCAGCTAGTATTTATTGAATACCCTCTATAGGACTGCTGTATGGGCTGGTAGAAAAACATTTACATGAAAGTAAAAAAGAACAAATTGTATTAAGTGCTTAGAAAGGAGAGAAATGGCATAAAAGTGGTAACAGTGATTTTTATTTTGGTATGAGTAGAAATACTGAGAAGTTGGCATTTTAGGTGATACTTGTAATATGGAAGAGGATTCACTTTTTTATGGATGGTGAAAAGCAAAAGCATAAACCTTCTCAGAAATACCTGTACAATGAAAACTATAAACGTTGAAGAAAGAAATTGAAGAAGACTACAGAAAATGGAAAGATCTCCATCCTTATGGATTGGTAGAATCAATATTGTGAAAAGCAATGTACATGTTCAGTGCAATCC